TCTTCTGTAGCCTCTGATGGGACATCACCCACGCTGCGTTAGAGATAAGGATCGTGTATCTAGACTAACTCTCATTGCTTCAGTAATTCAATTCTTCCTAGTTAGATTCTCTATGGTTGAAATCGTATGTGTATCATTCATTAGATACTGCAGCGCTTAGGCTAGTGTCTGTGTATTTATATAGCTTTCGCGCCTCTATGGTGGCCATAGTCATAGCCTGCGTCGGCGACATAGGTCGCGCACCGAATCTTGCGAACTCGGCGTCTCTGAAGCGGATCTTCGCTTCTGGAGGTGTAAACCTATACAGCAGCGGTTTCGAATCAATAATCTTGTGATCGTTCGGAAAGAACAAGTACTTCAGAATTGCCGCATTGCAGTCATGTCGAGTGTTAGAAGAAGCGGCAAAATGCTCAGAATAGGCCGATAGATGACAGAGCGCCCTTATATTGGTTAGGATCTTCAGAGTTACGCGATTATGAGTGCGCCATATCTTTTCCAGGTGCCATCAGCCTCCACCGGATATTCAATCCCATGAGTTTCTGAATCTGATCACACAGAGCAGGGAGTCTCCTTGTCTTTTTCGGGCACTCTACGAAGATATGGTAGTGCTGAAATTAGAGGAGAAAGATGCACTTCAATGCTGAGAATCAGCAGCAGAGTCTTGGCTCTACTCAGTTAGGTGCTTCAGAAGATCTATCTGCTATGAAGTTCGCCTCATATCAAAACCCTGCGAGGCTCCTTTCTTCTGCGATATAAATCCGCACGCTCTCTCTCGACATTCGCTTCCCCGTAGCTTGCTTCATAGTCATTATCCCATTGAGGATGAGCTCCTGAAGTTCACTTTTTCGAATTTTCTGGCAGCCAGCTGGCTTGTTCTTCGCACCTTTTACGCAGTACGTGGCGCTTATGACGCGGCACTTTCTATCTTTCGGAGCGTCTTTCGGATCGATCCAAAGAAGATCATGCGGGGAGACTTCAGTCGTGTTTTTCTTCATGTCTTCTAGAATGTCCTCCTGTGATGTGTAGCCAGGTTCTTCTGATTCTGCGCCAGATGATTCTTCTTCTGCACTCTCTGCAGAAAAAACATGAACGGATTATTTTTAGGATCACAAAGAAAGTCGCAACGGCCTTTATCTTAGTCACCTAACGAAGCACTTGCGGCTTCGGAGGCGTCTAAGATAAAGTAGCTCGCGGCTTAACTCATTTAGATCGCTAGCGTACTAATTGCAGACGTCAACTCAGGCGGCAATTAGTACGCTGATCTACTCGGATTTACTTAGTCAATATTCACGTAGGCAAGCTATCTAATTATCTCATAATCTTCGTCGTTAAATTTGCCAGCTCGCCCTCTGCGTCGAAACTTCTGCTTTGGCTTCGGTTTCGCCTTTGCCACCTGCTTTTCCACTTTTTTCTTAATAGAACGAGGTAGACCAGGCGGCATATCCCTAACATCTCCAACTGCAACCAGCTCAAGGCAGTCAACTTCTCCAGGGGCGCGCTGACGTTGTTTTTTTTTAGCTTTCTTGCTCAAAGAGGCGCCTTTCCCATTATCAAATGAAGCATTTCCGATTTTTCTCTTTTTCCGTTGCTTTCGGCGTTTCCTCCTGTCTCTGGCGTCACTGCTGCTACTGTCACTACTATCAGAAGCGTCGTCTCTTAGGCGATGCCATCTTCGCCTCCTTGAATCTGATTCGGAGCTTGATGAGCTATCGCTAGTTGAGGTTTCTCCCCATGTAGTAGCTGGAGAAGCATCCGCTTCGGCAAGTTCTTCCTTCCTTCGTCTTGTGCCTAGTTTGTGAGGAAGCTTATTAGCATCATTGATGCCAGAGCGAAATACCTTGCTCATACCGTTATATTTAACAGCAGCGCTTGATGTTGAAGATGATGCACTAGACTTTTCAGCCATAGCTGCAGCAGACCTAGATCGCGATTGCGGATCATTATCGATATGAATATCTCGAGAAAGATTACATCGAGACTTCCTCCTGTGGTATTTGCTTATTGCTGCCCTACTAGACGACATCTTAAGTTTCTTTTTCTTCTTCTTCGATCGTTTCTTCGTTTTTAGGCGTGAATGCGAGCTACTACTACACGAAGAAGAGACGTCTGAGTCGTATTCGTCCCACTTCGTCTCTTCCGGCGGAACATAAGAAGTAGAATTCAGGCATTCCATCTTCTCAGCAGTAGATAGAGCTGGCCTAGATCTAGTTCGAGATGTCTGCTTGCTGGTTGTACTAGTTGATGCTGTAGGAGGTGCTTGATATGAGGATGTCGCAGGTATGTTGGCACCTGCAGAAACTGAAGCTCCTCCGAGGACGCTGTGATCGCCACCGCCAAATTCAGTGCCAAATAAGCTCTCCGTCTCGTTCAGACTGAGTGCAGAGCTATCTCCGTTACAGCTACTAGGAAGTTCTCCATTCTTTTTAGCCCAGCGTCTATGCTGCCTTGCACTTCTAAGTTCCATCGTCGACATACTGCCATGGACAGATAGGCCACCACCGCCGAATATTTCTTCTTCCTCGCCGCTATCAAATTGCTTCTCTTTTCGTGGTCTGTTAATTAGGTCAATAGAAAATAGTATAGCTTCTGTCTGTCTATAACAAGAAATAGCATTATAGTCAGAAATAAAATTCGATGTAGAGAGCATGAATCTAAAATTTTATAGCAGAAATAATTAGAAAGTACCTCCCTCTCTTTCGCCCATTTGCTTGCGATGATTGCTGCGTGCTTTGTGCACATATCCCAGTTGCACTTGGCTGCTGAGTAGCAGATCTGTATAATAAAGAGATCATAAGTTCGTCAAGTAAGTGCATAATAATTCTCAATTCACTTTTATATTGTGCACCTATGAGAAGAGATGAAATTCAGCACAACAGAGGAAGAAGTTATTATATGAAATGCAATCAAAGAAAGTTAGCAGAAATGTGAGTTGCATTTTAAAGAGCAAATACTTCTTAGGCCGTCCTCTCCCTCCCATCTGGGGCAGCAAATGCTACATTGAAGGTAGCGTAAAAATGACAAGCAAGCCGCGGAGCGATGCAAGAATATTTTTTGCCATTATTGTAGTTCTTCATATATCAAGTGTCTTTCGTATATCGTAGTACTAGTTAACGCTGCACGAACTTTCCTAGGCTACGAAAAAATAGATATGACCGATAATTTTTTTATCATTCAAAGAACAAATTCTTTTACGTGCATTATCCTCCTTTTACATGCGCTTTAAGCGCTCGCGATGATGATCAGACGTGCTGTAGATTTTTTTTCTTCACCGAAAAATTTTTTACCGATCATAGATCCACTGAAAATCGCATTGCCATCAAAAGGGCCTTCTAAAATCAGCAAAAGGGCCTTCTGGAGTACAGCAGAAAAAGATATAATATATTTGATCCTTATTATGATCTTCCTTTAGTAGGCCCTTTCATCTAAAGCTAAGGGGCTTTCTGACATTCATGCGTAGGTAGAACTCGAAAATTTCCCTTCACGCTGCTGGAGAACACAACAAGTCGCTTCACACCTGAGCGATTTTCATCTGACATATCTTCGCCATCACTATTTCGTGCACTTATAGGTAGGGCATGCAGGTGTAGGAGCATCTTCATATGTCATAAATCCAGAGATATCAAATTCTTTATCATCTGAAAAAAATGCCGTATAAAGAAACGCAGAGATACTAGATCAAATACGCAAGAAAAGTGCAAGTTTGATAGCGTAGCACCTACAAGATCTGTCTACAGTGCAAGCCTACAATTGAAAAAAAGCAGAACAAGAACATCTCTCAAGAAAGCCGCATGCTGAACATATTAAAAAATAAAGATAAACTGCACATAGGAGATTAAAAAATATCAGAAAAAAATTAAAAAGGTACATCTTCATCTGAAGATAATCTATCTGCCACCCAATATTCACCCTCTTCGTCACTTTCTTGGCGGCGTGCTCCAGGAAAAACTTCAT